AAAAAAAAAAAAAAAAAAAGTCACCTGCTTGTGCTTAGGTTGTTTGAACCCTCGTCAAGTCATGAGTGCAGAGTAAAGCTGGGGATTTGACTTGGTCCCTGGTCAGGCTGATGCCTGAAGCTGATGAATGGAGGCTTCTTAGCCGGAGAATCATTTTTTCCTCCCTCTGTCCCCAGACGCCATGGAGTTGGTGCTGGTCTTCCTCTGCAGCCTGCTGGCCCCCATGGTCCTGGCCAGTGGTAAGTACCCCTCTGGGACCTGGCTGTGACAAGATGATAATCCTGTCCAGCCCTCTCTACTGGAAGGTTCTGGGCCCCTTGGAACATTAGGGCTGGGGGACTCCCAGGTTCTTCATGTCTGGTCAGGGACCTCTCCCTTCAGTCAGCAGAGGAAGTCGTGGAGGCAGCAGCTATTTATTCACAGACCTCAACACAGCCTGCCCCCTTGCCCCCTAATGGTCCCGCAGGGCATGGTGTTTAAGCCCCGCAAGCTCACCGGGCCTCTGTGGTCTTGTGGCCTGAATCCTGGGAGTCAGACCTGCACGTCAGTCTCTAGACCATAATTAGCCAGTGTTGGCCTCATGCAAGTCACACGTCCTTCCTTGGTCTCAGTTTCTCCGTATGTCACAAGAGGAAAATTGACCCTGCCTTCTGGGGATGATGTAAGAATAAAAAGGGGCAATGAATGTGGATGTTGCATGACTCGGAGCCTCACTGAGGCTCAATGCCTTCATTGCCCTTGGCCCTCAGGTTCCCCTAACCCCCTAACTGGCAGGCCTGCCCTACTGTGCACCTCTAGGCATCTCTGCTTAATGGGCCTTGCTTCTCCGGAATCCCTTTGTGAAGACGGAGGTCTGTGAGGCAAGGTTAGCTATTTGGGAGCCGGGCTGTGTAGCTTTCTTTCTCTTGACCAACTGTTTGTTTTTGCAGCAGCTGAGAAGGAGAAGGAAATGGACCCTTTTCATTATGGTGAGCAGTGGGGACCCTGGGTGCAGGGGTCAGGGGGATGCAGCCCTGCCTGGCAGGAGGGATGGGGGGAACAGACACCGTCTCCCTGGCCCCTTCCTCTCTCACCCTTGGTTCCTTTGGCAGATTACCAGACCCTGAGGATTGGGGGACTGGTGTTCGCTGTGGTCCTCTTCTCGGTTGGGATCCTCCTTATCCTAAGTAAGTTGGTTCTTTTGCTCACTCTGTAAGAGCAATGACTGAGGCTGCTAAGCAGGTGGGGGCAGTGTGAGAGCCTGGTTGGTCCGTCTCCTGGAGAGGAAAGGAGGCTGCCTGTCCTCCATGTTATCTTCACGACCCAATAGAGTGTACTGGGCACATAGTAAGTGCTCAGTGAAACACTGAAGTGGGAATAAAGAAAATGTCATATGACAATGAGCACAGATAGGAACCGGTAGGGAGGCTTCCCAGTGCTGTGTCTATAGGGCATGAGTGGGGCAGTCATGGAGGAAGGAGACAGGCACTGCCCTAGTGTGCGAGGGATGTGCCCCTGAGTTTGTTGTTCCCACGTGAGCCTGATCTGCACAGATCTCTCTTGACTCACATGATCAAGAGGGCTGTGGGGGTGTAGCCATTCCAGCTGTGGAATGTATTTCCTTTGCCCCAGAAGAAGCTACCCCATCTGAGGGCCACTGTGTGCAGCTGTGCAAACTGTGCACCGCACAGGTCTAGGGGATGCCGTTTACATAGTCCCACAACCTGCACAGACCCTTGGCCCTGCTATGGCCAAGCCAGGAGCATGACCTTGGATGGTTTCCTTGCTTTTCAGGTCGCAGGTGCAAGTGCAGTTTCAATCAGAAGCCCCGGTAAGGATGCTGTGGCAGTGGACATTGGGGGTGATATTAGGTGGGACAGGAAAGGAGCCCTGGTGTGTGACCCCCCAAATGGGCATTCTGTTGGATTCTTGTCTCAGAGGCAGAATGTGTGTGTTGGGGCATAGGGCTGGGAGTCTGGGGACTGCCAGGTAGACTCTGGGGCAAAGGAGAGGTCCAAACATTGACGGTCAGCCCATCCTGTCTCTTCTGATATATGTAGGGGAGGGGAAGTGGACAAGAAAGTACTGGAACCTTTTCTGGAGGCCCTTGGGACAGTTGAGCTTGGGAGAAGGGAAGCAGAGGGCTTCCTGGCCTCTCTTGGTGCCCAGGTCCTCTCTACAGGACCTGCGACACAGTCCCCGCTTGTCACCTGTTCATGAGGCTCTTTGAGCTGAACAGACACTTGGACCTTCTTTCTACTCCCACACAGAGGTCATACCCCATTAATTTACTACAATAGCCAAGGGTAGCTTGGACCCCAGAAGTCCAAAGCCTGTGACAGGACACACCCAAGGCCCCATGTGGCCTTAGGTTCCCCTTCCTGTGACTTGATAGAAGTCGAGGGCTGACATTGAAGGGTGCCTGTAAGTTCCCTCCGAGTCTGATCCTTCAGTCCAGACCTCTCCCTCTGCCCCATGCACCCCACAGCGGAGTGAGCTCCAGCCCCTCAGGGCACTGGGAGGAGCCTGACCACAGGCGGCTGTGCCCCAGTGAGGAGCAGAGCGACGCTCTCTGGGTCTGCCCTGGAGATCTCTGACAGGGCTGTGCTTCTCCTTCTCCTGCAGGGCCCCAGGAGACGAGGAAGCCCAGGTGGAGAACCTCATCACCGCCAATGGTAACTGTCCGTGACCACCTGCCCAGATGGAAAAGAGGGAACAGAGGGACCCCTCTGTGGCCCAGGAAGGGACTGTTGCCAGGTGCATGGCCTCGCTAGAGTCAGCCAGACATGCTCCCGCAGTGCCAGGAGAGGGAGTCTCCAGGGCCTCTGCAGCATTGCCCCCTCACTCCACCAAACAGGCTACTACTAGTGTCACCTGCTATTTACAGAGCATCTGCTTGTGCCAGGCACAGACCCCATATCATTTAATGTGCACACAGCCCCGTGAGATAGGCATCACTGTCCTCATTTTATAACCGAGGGACTCAGAGAGGTTACCAGGTTCCTGTAAGCAGCAAGTAGCAGGGCCAGGATTCACCCTAGATCGTTCTGACTCGAAATCCCATGGCTGTCACCTCTTTGCTCCCCCAGAGTCAGGCATAGACACGGCTGCTGTTGGGGGTGGCCCACTGGGGTGAGGAGTCTATATACTATCATCCATTCTGATTTTCTTTCCAGCAACAGAGCCCCAGAAAGCAGAGAACTGAAGTGCAGCCGTCAGGTGGAAGGTGAGATGCTCACTGCCTGGATCGGCCCCTGTCACCATCACCGTCTGCATCAGGGCCTGGACAGGAGTTCAGGCAGGAAGGATGGGGCTAGCTTTTGCCGTGGGCACAGCTTTTACTATGGGCCCTGCCCTGAGGAGCCTTCAGGAGTCTGAAAGGGGCTGTGAGAGAGACCAGGACCAGAAACACCCAAGGTGTCCCACACATGTGCATGCAAACACCAGGAAACGGGGCTTCCACACAGCTCAAAGGCCGAGCGCATAGGCCATCATCCCAGCTGCCACATGGGGAGAATTAAGAGTTAGTGAAATGCTGCTAATCACAAAGTGGCATAAAGATAACGGCTTTCCGCGCTGATTCAGAAAGTACTTTAGGGCCACTTTTTTTTTTTTTTCCTTTTTTTTTTTTAAAAAAATTTATTTATTATTATTATACTTTAAGTTGTAGGGTACATGTGCATAACGTGCAGGTTTGTTACATATGTATACTTG